TTACTACATATGATGAAAACAAATCTCAGAGAAGTTAAGTAACTTGCCCAAGATCACACCACTAAGTGGGGGAGGGGGGCAAGAAATAAAATACAAGCTCTCTGATTTCTCAGCTCTTATCCACCACACCTCACTGCCCACCCTATATAAAGCCCATTCATTGGCAGAGAGAAAACACCAAAAAGCCACAGACCTACTATTCACTGAGCACATGCTATATGCCAGGAACTGGTCACTGGAGAAAAAAAAGAATTTAAAAAGCCTGGCTCTGAGCTGAAGGAGACTTTTTTTTTTTTTAAAGCAGATTCAAGGTAGACTGAAAACAAAGTAGACCTGCTAGGGGCACACAATGCAAAGGGCAACTAACTTAAAAACACACACACACAATATAACCCTTAGAAACACTAGAAGTTTTTTGTTTGTTTTTGTTTTAAATAGTTGTGATACACTAATCTGGAATGGGAGCATAGAAAACATTACATAAACCTTTCCTTGATGGTTTCCGGTCATAATTGGGAAGACCAAGAGCACTGCAATAATGTCATATAGTGTTTTAGGAATGAGAGAAACTTTGTTCCTACCTTTTTTTTATTCATTTTGAGAGAGAGATCGATGCAAGACAGAAACCACCACCAGTTGCCTCCCATACGCACCCCGACGGGGGATTGAACCTAAAACCTGGGTGTGTGCCCTGACTGGGAATTGAACCCGCCACCTTTTGGAGCACAGGATAACTCTCCAACCAACTGAGCCAGCTGAGCCACACGGGCCAGCGCTGCTCCTGCTTTTAAAAACTTTTAAAGTTATATCTCTCTTCCAGATCTACCCCCTCTCCTAATCTGAAATGACACAGGAGTTAATCATTAACCATGTTCTAAATTTAAATTGTGAAGGAAAGTCCCTTCTCCAGAGTAAAGGAGTCACATTTACGACAGTTCACCTATCTTCTTTGATGTTCACGTCAGTACAGTAAAGGGAGGTGGCTCACTACAAAAACAAATTTTGTGAATTTCAAAATTTTTACCCATGACAAACCTGGGAAGAGAAAGAGATAAAATATCAACTTCTAACAGGGATGGTGACGACAGTAACCACCAATCTTTAATGAGCAGCACCTACTATGTGCCAGGTACATGTGCTACCGGCTTAATAAGAACCACTTTAGCCTCACGATACCCCTGTGAAATGGGTCATTCTAATCTGCAGTGTATAAATGAGAAAAATGAAGTCCACGTTCACATAAAAAGTTGCAGGACTAGAATTTGAATCACATGCTCAAAAAAGAAAAAAAAAAAACCTTAAGTGGCACTGCTGCCAAGCAGGTGGAGTGACTGTGTGAAGTGGCTCGGGACTAAGACTATGAGCTGTGGTTCTCACCTGGCAGCACGTTGTCCTAGCCTGCGGAGGCTGCCAGGTGAGGCCCGCCCCCACGGGGGGTGATTTAGTTGGTCTGGGAGCTGCCCAGGTAATTCCAATGGCCAGTCCAAGCCGAAAAGCTCGGTGTGTAGACACAGAGAATGGTGCACGGCCCACCTGAAGGGAGTTTAAAAATGTTTAAAAGGCTAAGGAAACACTGCCGGCCGAAGGCTGTCAGTATGCCTCTGCCAACAGTAAGTAACCCCCGCCCCACTCCTCAGCATCATGAAAGTACAGTATGGACGGCAGACAGGTCAGTAAAAACATAGGCCGACAGATATAAGTATTTATATTTAGTGGGGGGAGGGTTGCCTTGTCTTGGCACTTGCCCCACCATCCCCCGTTTAGGGAACTGTTCTACAAAACGCACTGGATGGGAGAGGTAACCCACGCTCAAAGTAAGCTCTGGAATACAACCCATTCTTCAGCTGAAGTCATTCTACTCACTTAACAAACGTATACCTTCAGGTTATAGGACCAAACTATAAACATTTCAAGAGTCATACTTTTTATTTTCTTTATTCTTATTTTTTATTTTTTGTTAATCCTTACCCAAGGTTATTTTTTCCATTGCTTTTCAGAGAATAGAAGGGAGAAAGGGAGGGAAAGAGAGGGAGAGAGACATATCGATTGTTTGCCTCCCGCACAGGCCCCTACCAGGGGCAAGGAGCCAACCGGTAGGTGCCCTTGACCAGGAATCAAACCCGTGACCCTTCCGTGCTCTGTGGGGGCCTATGCTCTAACCACCACGCCACACTGGTCAGGGCAAGAGTCATATTTTTTATAGAGGGCCACTCATAATTAACACTGATCTTAATCCAAGACAGATCAAGAGATCTCATGAAACTAAACAAGTCTTAAGAATAGAGTTTAATGCCCTAAAAACAAATGCAGGTGGTACATAGCACTGCTGAGAAAAATGTCATTTGTCATTGGAAAAGGGAAGCAAACCCACATACCATCAGCGAATCCTCATTAAATGGCCTGCAGATGTGAAATCCAAAATAAATGCTACAGAAGTCAATTGGGAATCATCTAAAAGGGAGGAAATTGTAGCCTGCTTGGGAAACAAGTCTTCATGCTTAATCATATTCTAATTGTTACAACATCACAGCTCAAGAGGAAACGGCAAAAGAGTAAATTAAGAAATGGACTTTAAGTCAACACATTCAAACTAGCTACATTTTGTCTTCTGCTCCAAAGCAAATGTGTATTTTAAGTCTTTTGTTTCCACTCCCCTACTCCCACCAAAAGGCGGCAAATAAAAGGAAAAGAAATTCGGATTGATTTTCAAAATGGAACACTGCAAATAAAGGCTATGTCTCAGAAATCAGGGTCTTGGCCAGAAAGTTCCAGTATTGGCAGTTAAGGCAAACACACTACTTGGGCAAAATATTTCATTGTTGTCACTTGCCTGGTTTTTCACAAAGCAGAGACAGGAAGCGGAGCCTGCGAAAGCATGTGATTAATTTTCTCACCATGGTTTAGGATAATTTTATTTGTTGATTGAGTAACTATACACTGATCCCCTCCTGAGTGCCAGGCACTGTGCAGTGCTGGGGATGTTCTGGTGAACATGATAGCACCTGCTCTCATGAGTCCCCTGAAGTAAGGGGCCGAGGCACCAAGCTCACAGAATTCACCACACAAGTCCCTACCAGCCAGGAGTGTGAAAATCCAGCCCTGCCGTTGTACTATTAGTTGACAGTAAATTTGTTTCTTGGTCGAACTGCACTGAACTTCACAGGGAAGCTGCTGATATCATCTAAATAAATAAGTAAAAATATATCTATACATCTCCACACTTTTGAATACCAACAATATAATTCATGGGTAAATGTCCGCAAGTTTAAAGAAAAATTTTAAGTTAAGACTGTACCAAAACAGGTTTTCCTTTTGAACTAAGCCCAGCTCACATATTTTCACTGCCTATGGTTTATGTAGCTTCAGCAAACTAAAAATACTTTCCTTTCTACTAAGTTGGGAAAAGCAAATAAGACCAAGCAATCAGCTGTGTTATTTTCTCCCATCTTAATTGTTTTACTAAAAAACACTCAAAAGAACTGAAGCAACGAAAAGGTATCTGTTTTATATTTGTATTCACAGGACTGACAGATACATCTAGTCAGTTTGTATCTCCCTAGTCCTATAAAATAAGCTAGATTTGCACTATCAGCAAAGACTGTCAACATTTCACTACTCACAGCTTTTTATTATTATTGTTTGGTTGGAGAGAGGGCTGCACAAGTGTTGAAAACTAGCCCCAAGTACAAGGAAGAGCTTTCAAAATATATGTCTAGGATGATTATGCTCTTAACAGGACAGCTGCCTACTTTGCAGTCATGCATCATTTATGTTTCTGAAATTTACATTAAATGAGATTTGAAAAGAGAAGGGTAGGAACTTTGTCTTTTTGCAGGTCTTGCTCAAGTTGTCCGCTCTGTCTGGCAAAGTGAAAAACTGTGTTTCTCTTGTTGGACTCCTCAAGGCTGACTGTAAAACACACACACACACACCCCTACCTGTGATAAACTAAATGTTACTCAGGCAGACAAAGAACCCCCCCCCCCC